AATAGCGGCATCAAGCTTAGAGCTCGATAATTCGGCAATTCATTTGGCTTTAATAATCAGGTTTATGAAGAAAAACTTCATACTTGCAGACTTTGTACTCGTTTGTATCCTTGCCCAATTTGCACAATCTGGCGTCAGGCATTTATTGAAGCTACTGGGCATGGTTAAAACTCAAGACAGCGTAAGCACAATTATTCCAGATATTACAGGTTCCGACAAGTAAAGAATTTTTATAGTCCTGCCACAAATAAGCTATATATTGATTATTGACCATTTGTGACATGCTATAACGAGCAAAAATTTAAAAAAAAAAACTAATAGGTAGGTTTAAAATTAATAAACACAAATGTATTCTGACAGTAAATGAGTTAATTATGCTTTTTATTTGCAGAATTCCTCAACCTTAACACAAAATAAGAAAAAAAGTGAATTTTTAAGAAATTTGCGGGATTTCCCGGGATAAGAAAAATTTCCTGGGATATTTCCCGGGTTAAAAAAACAACCGAGATCCCGGGATCCCGGAATCCCGTTTGAGAAACCCTAACTGCAATTGAGCCAGCTATTTTATACGCTGTTCCTGTATGGCAAGACGCACTTAACAACACACATGTTTGCAAAAAATTACTGTCGATACAGAGAAGTGCAGCAATAAGGATTACTCGTGCTTATTCAGTTTGGAATTGGATCTGCACTAATATTCGGCTACATAGTTACACACAGGAGGATATTGAAAAACGTATTAAAAATAAAATGATTCCAAATAGCTACTGGAATATACCTGATATTATTAAAAAATATGAAATTGATAGAACTAGTAATGATATATGCCTCCAACTACACCCAGCAGACGTGCACAGCTACAAAATAAGTTTCGATTATAATCCTGAAACAAACAGATACTTTCAGTTTGTTTCAAATGGTTCTAAGCAAGAGTGCGGAGTGGGAGCTGGTGTGTGCATTCAAAACAACAACAATAAGACAATATATCAGGCCTGATCAAAACTTGCTAAACATTGTAGCATTACGCAAGCTGAACTTGGGTGGGCCACTTATGAAGCAATCACCCAAATAAAAGATAACTCAAATAAATACAAAGGTAACATAAAATTCCTTATTGACAGTAAGGTGGTTCTTCATGTCTTAGCAAAAACTGAAAACATCACGCTACTGGGCAAAGAAGTTATTAAAGTAGTACAATATCTCAGTACTACCAGCAATATTCAATTCAGTTGTATACCAGTTCATAAAGAACATAAAGGAAACGAACTGGCCGATTCTTTGGCCAAAATGGCTGGTACTCTCAAGACGCATGATACATATACCAGGTTAGCAAAATCAACACTGAAAAATTCCTTAAACGAATGGGCACTTATTGAATGGCAGGAAAATTGAAATAATTCTACAACGGGGAGATTGCCACCAGTTTATTCCCTCTATTACTAATCGCATCAAGGCTAATTACTACAAACCTAGATCCGAAACCATCCAATGTTTAACAGGGCACGGTAATTTTATGGTCTACCTCTACCGCTTTAAGAAGAGAAACACTAATAAATTCCTGTGCGACAATAATAGTGTAGGAGATGCCATTCATTTTATATTCCACTGTAAACAATATGAGGATCAACGCATTCCATTCTATAGGGAATGCCTTCAAGAAGGTCATAATTGGCCACCGACACTACAAAACATTTTTGATAAGAAAAATCTCTGGAAGTGTTTTGAACACCTTCAGAAGTCTGGCACCAGGGCTCGTCTGCCAGACTTCTACAGGAAAGAAAAAATTCTTGAGAATGAAAACAAGAACAGACAAGATGAGCAGAAAGACAGTGAAAAAACGGAAAAGTGACGTTATCAGCGATTGATTGATCGGCCGTGTAGAAATCTTTTGTACATAGTTTAGTCGTCTAGTATTAGTTTAGTTTTAGATTCTAGATAAAAAAAAATAAAGGTATTCCCATTTATATGCATCCGGTCCTCACGTACCATGTAATCTCTATTATTATATCATAGTAAGCTAATATTTACATTCTCTCTGCGTGTTAAAATTGTAACCAGTTCTTAATATTATTGTAACATTGCAGTGTTGAAGGTTAGTTTATACCTACCCATATATAATGGATTTTGCATTTTACTGTAACCGGACCATTTCTTGTAATTGTTAATACTGTATAACGGTCTCGTCAACTTTTGTAATTTTGGTTATTAATAATTTCCGATGCAGCGCTCTGAGGTTCTAATAACTTTTTTCAGCGTTACTCTTCCCCTTTTCCTTTATACTTCTCCTTTCAGAACCTTTTCTTCAACCTTTTCTTCACTCCTTTCTTTTCCTAGTGGGCTAAGTTTGCAAAAGCAGACAGCCCCTCCTCCTCCTTTATTATTATTATTACTATCCTGCAGCTCTTTTGAAGCATCGTGTATTAACTTATTATTAAAAATTTCCATATATTTTCAGTAAATTAATTATAATTTCTGCGATTTTTATTTCGTCACTGACACGTCACTGAAGGTGCCATTTACTCGTCGAATGACGCAATTTTCTTTATTACATTCGTATTTTGCGTGGGATCTCGATTTAGCGTGTGAAATTGGCACTAAATCGAATTTGGCGTTAAATGGAAGAACCTGAAGGAACGAGTAATGAAGTCTACACGCTAATCTGATAAGGTGTATTCGTTTCTACTAGTGTACAGTACATGCAGTTCCTGCTTTGGGGAAGCTTAAAATGGCGTCGAAATGACGTAATGGTGTAGACAATTTTGACGAAACAAATGAATTTTTAGTAATTTACAGTTACTGAAGTGTTTTCTATTTAATATTTAGGGGGAAGGTCGAAGCCATTCGCAGATTATTATAATGAACGAAATGATTATAAGATAGAGAAAAATGAATTAAAATTCTATTCGAATTAGGTTTTAGTGAATACCTGAGGATTTATGGTTAAGTTTAAAAGTCGAAATACAAGAGATAATTAAAACTTTGTGTAATAAAATATATTCAGAAAGTGACAGAAAGAAAATAATGATGAAGATGACAATCTACAAACAAATAGAACAATTTTGTAATTAAAATCTAATTACAAATACCATTCACTGGCAACATCAAGTATCGACTTTGTCTCCTTTACTTTGTTTCTCTTTATTAATTGAATTTTATTGGATTTTTCTTTGTTCTCTCTTAAACATGACATGTCCCAGATCTTGTAGAAAATTCGGATTCGACAGTACATTAATTGTACATTGGAAAATTACTTAAAGCGTTTTAATTAAATGATAAATCTCCTTTCGATTTTTAATTTTCTATCTTTCTTAAGAGCTATTTGCAATTTTATAAGCAATTTTCCTCTATCTAAAGTTATGTTTTGATAAAGGAAGACGGGCCGAAAGTGATTCAAACATACTTCAAAATTAATTATAAAGTCTTTAGATATGAATATTTTGTATAAAGTTCGTGTTTGCTAAGATTATAATTCACTTTTAAGCAAGAGAAAATAAAAATTTAGTATATTTAATGTTAAAGTGATCCTTCTGTAATGATGCCAGTCACGTTATATATCTAGAAATTTTAAGTTATAATGAAAAATTTAATATTAATATCCACTTGTACATTATAAAAATTGTTATTAATCTATAATTAATGCATGCATTATTATTATTATATTTTTTTTTTACCTTGTTTTCTTGGTAACAAGAAACGAATTATTGAATGTCTTGTCACGTTGTCACTTGGCTTCTTGACACGAGTGCTTTTATGTCGAGTTTATCTATTTGACGACCGACTTCTAATTATCGTCTTTTCCATAATCTCCGATTATTGAGAACGAAAGTGGGAAAAAATATTGTTACAATGACATACCATTAATGACTTGTCAGCCTGATGTTTAATATTAAAGACCTATTCAATATCTATAGAAAGAAAAAGGTCGGAAGCTTGTATGTTGCCATTGACGTTATTAATAAAATAAAAATTATCGCTCCCCTTTTTTATATATATATATAAATTTTTCTTTTTGTTCCGCTCTTTTTGTTATTAAGTAAAATCTAATTTGACGCTAAAAGCGGGGAAAAGATACTTGATAAGATTTTTGTCACTTTGAGATGCTTTGGTTTCTATCAGATGTTAGAAAAACATTTTTAAGAAATTGTCTGAGGGAATCTTTATCAAGGAAACGAATTAAGTTTCAAGTGTTTTTTTTTTTAATATGAAAAATGAAGAGAGTTTATCAAATTTATATTTATTGGATTATGATATATAAACACACAGACACGTATAGGCCTACGAGTGTAATATACAGTAAATACTGTATATACCTGGAGGATATCAAAGATTATTATCTTTAACTTAATTTTTCTTGTCATTCTCTCGCTCTTGTATCTTTGTACACATCTCGTACACTACCTACGATAAATTTATATAAAACAATTAGTAAATAAGACTTAGTCTATCTTATTATTTTTGTATTCAAAGTTTATTTAGTAATCATAAAGTATATAAATTTATTTTTCCAGTCGAGACTCAAAAAACCATGTATAATGCGCACTTTAAACAATAAGCTCTTGCTATTTACCGATGATAATTGTATTCTATTTTTTTATATATATATATTTTTTTAATATTTTAATCGCTCAAAAAAGATTTTTTTTATCTTATATTAAGGAACAACTATTTATAAATAGGAGAATATTAGTATAATTAACTGAGACAACATTAGAAACAATACAACTACAATTGTTATTTTATTGTTCACGATAAACGCTCCTTGTAACAGTTTTTGCTTTTGTGAAAGCCCCGATTAATAATAATATATTAATATAATAATAATAATAATAATAATAATCAGCTANAATGTGACGTCAATTGCTTCAATTTTTTATACACAGAACCAAGCCATTAGCTACAATCTAATCATTAAATAACACAATTACAATTGTTTTAATTATTATAATAATAATAATAATAATAATAATCAGCTAAAACCAAAACTTCAATTTTTTTTTACGTTTTTCTTCTATATTTTAAAAGTCCAACCCTATTATCCCCACGTTCCGAATCCCAGACAAACAAGTGGCCGGAAGTTTATGTATTGCTAGTAGAAAAATGGTTGTAGACGTTGGAAGTGGATAGATATAGAAACAGAACAGTCAACAACACCTGGCCGCACGATTGACGAGGGGCATACGACCATTGGGGTGAAAATATCTGTAGTAGATTAGCATGAATACGATGCCTAAGAAGAAAGCACCGATCACACCTCCTAGAGCGGGATAACGGTACCACAGATGAGTATCGCACTTCAGGTACCACAATACGATCATAGATGCATCCTCGAGAAAAACGATGACGTAAAAAGCAGCGTACTTTCGTCTTGTGGGCTCCTCTTTGACGTTCAAGAAACAGAAAAGGTATATCGCTCCGATGACCATGTTGAAAAGATACTCGTGGCAAGGACGTGGTTCTCCGGTGTCGGTATCACAGAATCGGGTCTGCTGATGCATTACCCAAACTGACATCACCCCCCAGTGACCGATGCATAGTGGAATGAGCCAATACTTGTACTCGGATGCGAAGAGTGCCAGGGCTACTACACGTGAACCGATGGTACAATAGCGCCAAAGGAATTGTAGTGCTGTACCGGTACGGCTCATATTTCGTTTATCCGGTGACGAACGGCGTATGGCTCGATGATAAGATGCTAAGGCCCAGGCTAATTCGAAGAGAGAAGTCGCCACCGATGCCAACTGTAGATATTCTACAAAATATACACAAAATATTCATTATTCATTGAGTAATTAAGCGCTTTCAAAGGTTAATTTACATTGTAACCCGAGCTGATAAATGATTCCTAACTAAATATTTGTTCGAATTTACGTATAATGTTGATCATTAATGATTATTAAGTGAACAAATTAGTTAAGGGGGTTATTAAGATAACACACTTTCTAATTTGCCACACACACAATCGGCTTCGAAGTAGTAATAAATGTAAAAAGTCATTTCGAAATTAAATTAATGCATTAAAGAGATGCTCTTCGACCAGAAATTTGCCTAAAAATTCCCTTTGTTTGCGGTCCTTTTTTAAGAAAAATCTTTACTTTTGGCTCTTCTATGATATCTGGAAACGAAAAACATTTTTATAGCGAAAAATCTGTTGAAACATTGCCAAACAAATGAAGGACTTCACAGGAAAATTATCTACAATTTTTTCCCTTCCTTCCTTTCGCTAAATTTAAGCGAAGAGAACCAAAAATAAAAAAAAATTCGTCTAGTAATGACCAAGATATAATTTAGTCGACACGCTTACTTAATTAATGGACTTCTAATTAATTAGTTTTGGAGAAGCGACGTACTAGAAGAGAATAAACAACAGCGGTTCGAAGGCATGCAGCTACAGCTTCCTTCATCTGTTTGTTTAACCTGAAAGACGGCTACTTTGCAAAGATTGCTCAATTCCGACGGAAACTCACGATAGAATTAAGTGAGAATGAAGTTTCTTTATTTATTGATCAATGAACTGTTTAAAAATTGATTAGAGAAATAACGCGACTAACTCATATAAAATTTATTCTACACGTGTTTTAGGATTAGCTTGTCATGTTCATCCATCATTTGTCATCATCGCGACTTCGGATACTTCATCTGTCACGGTAAAACCGGTTGACAAATGTAACTTCCCATTTGTTGTGACATATTTTGAGAAAAAAAATGTACATTGGACCACACTACAACTTTGTTTTTACAAAGTTTCGGCATCTGAAAGTGACAGCTTAGAGGTGGAATCAACTTCTTTCTAGCAAAGGAATTGTATATTTCGACCCCCTTCTAAGACATTTTCCAGCCAGTTACGGCTAAAATTTACTTATTTAAGTGATTCAAATTATGTATTGCTTCCAAAATAAGCAAATAAATAAACATATTTGCGCTTTTATGTACGTTGAAAAACGTAAAGGAGGAATAAGAATAATATTTAAAAAAAAAAAAGAAAAAAAATGCCAGGCCTATATTTAAATTGGAAAGAGAAGCTTCTAAAGAAATTATGCAAACGGAAAATGAAATTTCAGCTGAAGGACTGAATCGATAATCATTCCGATTCTTTTCATTTTTAGAAAAGAGAGAGTGAAAATAAAAATAAAGATAAAAAAGAAAAAAAATAATATAAAAAAGAAGTGAAATTTTCATGCAGAAATCTCACATTTCTCAGATTATCTCGCTCTTTGTGATAAAACTAGTGAAAGGATCGATAATTTGGCACAACTTTTAGTAATTAAAATCATCATTAGATGAGGTTAAGCATTTGTGTGATTTATTCTTTGTGTTCAATTTATATTAGGAGAATAAATCGAAAGATGAGTATCGTGCAAGAAACATGGCGATTATCATACGAAGAAACGTCATTTTTCCAATTCCATTTATGGAAAAATATATATTTTTATATATATTACATCGTTTGAGTCGGTGAAAACGTTGTAAAAATCTGAAAAGCGTATTGAGAGAAGAAAGAGATGGAGCCAATGCATTTCTCACTCTCATTTCCGACGAATATTTATCACACGTAATCTCTTAGCGTGCATCGAATATTGGTAGGCAGCACCTTTAACTCTCTCTTATACATTACCCAGTTTTATAGCCGTTTAGGCATTGAATTTATAGGCGTTATCCAAACCAAGACAGCGGTCGAAGTTTTAAACGTGGGCATTTCTGACACTACATCAAACTATTCTGCAGCAGTCACTTAGAGCCATCAATCTGGCTTGAGTATGCCGTAGCCTGACACTTCCACTTTCCAATTCCTTTCATCCCCCTATTTATTTGACGTTTTAAATTGATAATTGGAGTCGAGAAGAGCTCCCAATTCTGTCCAGTTAGCGCATTCGACTAATCCTGTTCTTGATGAAAAATTTTAGACGGGATTAAGAAGGGAAAAAAGACAGAGAGGAGAGAAAGATGGACGTGTCGAGGAAGGAACAATTTGGTAGATATCGACCTTATCCCGAAAGTAAATGGATAAAATTCTGTAAACTGGAAGCGCCTTATAGACAGGTTATTGTTAAATCTTCCTTAACAACCACTAATAAAATAAATCCCCTAGAAATCAAAACACAAAAGCGTTAAACAAACATTTATATCTTTGCTTGTTTAATTTTAAACCTGCGAAATTATATCGATCCAATGGATTAAACAAGGGATTTGACCGCTTGTCGTTTCTAATTCCTGTCCACTTGAGCTTATCACTCGGAGACTAAATTCCACTTTGAATATTGTCTAATTAATTACGATTTTTGTCATCTTAAAGCGCTTACCAACCTGTAAGTTGATGTCTTTCCGGGATATCTCTCTGAGCCAAGAAGTACAGTTGCAATACCAGTTGGGGTGCCGATTCCATAAAACTCTGAAGTAATGAGAGAAGTGCTGTATCTCTGTCTTCGTGAACCATCAATAGATAGTAATCCACGTCATCCGGTTGTTCAATTCGTGCTGGCAAACGCGAATGCCAGTCTCTCGGATCGGATCGACTTCTTCCATTTCTTCGACTTCTTATACCATAAATCAGTAGATCCAAGTACCTAAGAGGGGAAGAGAAACAAATAGGTGGGATTTCAGTAAACACATCTCTATATAAGTACTGTTGTTGCATGTGTATATAGATATATATATCTACACAAACAAGCCGTATAAATAAATCTTTATGTTACGTATTATTCCGTTTGAGTTAGCGCTCTTAGAAAAAGCTATTAAGTTTCACTTTCCCAGGCGACTGATCACAAACGTGTGTGACACCCATAAAAGTCTTTCGTCCTCTTACATAATCAGTTGAGTCGATTAAAAACGACAATTTATGGTGCGGAAGATGACGCAAGATTTACTCTGCCAGAAACTTGTACGTGGCAGGTAATTGAGCGTGTTTTGTGTCCTCTACCCTTATCCTTCCAGTCCAAACTACTTACCTAACTTATGTAACGTGTCGCGGTAGAATGTGTCGTTGCCAGGCAACCAATTATCCTCTTCTTGTACAGAGATCCCGGCATATTTTCTGAATATCCTTAATGAAACGATAATGAAATAAATTATCGCAAAAATCGATAAAGATTCTTTTTTATTTTCTCCTTTATTTCTTTGCCATTTTCTTGGTTTTACTTGTTTATCGAATCGACGATAATTATATGTTTAATAAATAAAACTCTAAGTATTTTTGTAGAAAATTTTGAATGATTGCTTGTTTATTATCGAATTTTCCATTAATAACAAAATTTAGGGAAACATCTTCGGAAATTTTGGAAGGATGATGATGAAGAGCAGTGTTATGATTAGGCGGACAAACATTGTTTATCTGGATGTCTGGGTTGTAGTCGTAGCCCTCTTATTAATTAATTAATCTAAATATCAAACTTAATTAAGGAAGAAGCGTGTTAATTAATTAAATTCGGGTTTATATTCGTCTCCGGGGAGAATTTCATTATTTATATTATTCCGAATTTCGGTTGATTCTTGAATGTCAATGGCATTGTGTAGTCTTAATTTTGTTTTCGGAGATTGTGTTGAAGTTGTGCTGTGTAAAAATGACTTTAAGCATTACAAATGTACTTTTCAACAAGTTTATCGATTATATTATTATTGTTATTATTATTTTAAGAGTTGAATTATTATAGAATTAACTCTGTTAGAAAGGAGATAGCGTACGGTAATAAGTCTGAAACAGAAACCACACCATTAATTTTATTTTATTTCTCTAGAGAAAGACTCGGTGACAAATTATTGAGTATAAAATTTTTGCTATAAAAGTTGACGAATGGATAATGGCAAGTCTAAGCGTGAAAAATTACTTTCATAATCTCCGAAGTGGAGAAGGATAGTTCTATCAATCTCGACACAGTTGTGTTTTCAGCTGTCGTTCCTAGTTTTGATATTGAGCACAAGAGGAAAGTCCTCCAACACAGCTGCTCTGGATAGGATCGCATCTGTGCTCATAATTGAAGAACTTATTGGTGAAGTTTCTGCTTAATGATGCTTCTTTATGGGTAACCAAAGAATAGGAAGAAAACTCTTTAGGGTTTATGGTGGTTTAATGCTAAGAAGAAGGTCCATAACTGCATTCCTATGTTGGCAATACGTTACCGGTTTCCCTATATATTACACGTTACGGGTTAGATACTTCCATGTATATAAATCGGCACGTTTCGTGGAGAATACGCGCTGATTGCCAAGCAAATAAAGGGATAGGTAAAGTTGTAAGGTCTGAAGATAAAAGTTAAATATAAAAAAAGATAAATCGTATAGAAAGCGAATCACGTTCATCCCGAAAGAAAGATGACAATATCCTGTCTTCGAGAGGTCAAAAAGAATATAAAAAGAATGGTTGTGTTTCGGGGTCCCACCTCCCTCCGGGGTACAGTTTGTCGTTGGCAATCTAATGGAAAGATCGGTTGCAATTTCCCTCGAGAGTATTGTGGCGAATTGAAGTTGGCTTCGATGAAACTACTGAGCCTGTTTAAATGGCTTCGTCATTAAGAGTTGCTGCTTTTTCTTCGAGAGATGGAAGTAAACAGGAGAATTGTCGAAAGATTTTCAATATTACAACCACTCTACACTCTTTCCCCCTATTTACTAACTGTTCTCTTTCACTAAATAATTAAACAGCAACTAAAAATGAATGATGTGGCAAAATTTACCTGTAATTAGGATGAAAGAAAATATTACTGTCAAGCGCCTAATGAACTCGTCTCGGTTAGGTTTCTTATTATTTTCTCTTTGTAAGCTATCTTATTTCTTAACAATTAGTTTCCAGTTTATTTTTTGATGTTTTTTTTGGGCCGTCTCTGTGCGAAATTTAAAACTAATCTCGAATCAAGTGTTGAAGAAAATGAAACTCCCTTCTAGGCTCTCTCCAATCAATATTGCATGCTTTATCAATTTTTAATATGCAGTCTACTCTACATATATCTATTTATTTATAACTCGTATATATATATATATATATATACACACACAGGCTTTCCTTTATTTGCTTTAATTTTACAGAGTCAACGTTATCAAATTTTCTTTCGTATCCATCTTTAAACACTTGTTTATAACCTAAAGGGAATGCATTTTATGTATAGAAGAAAATAAATTTATAAATAAAATAATAGAGAAAAATAGAAATCCAACATTTTTTTATATATTGATTAAGAGTAATGCTCTTAAAGCAAAAAAATAGATAATCAGAGGTAATGTTAGGTTAATATCTTCTTTTCTATTTACTCTCTTCCACTTAAAATATATAGAATATATGTTTACATCGTCTAAGTTTTCTATTCTTCCATTTAGGATGATGAACTTTCATAAAGGATATTAACAAAAGTTAGATTTATTTTGACTCGGTTTAATTACATTTATCGTAGAGCGTAGAGGAGATATCTCAAACGTTATCGAAACCTTTTAAGAAAAAAACAAGTAAAATAAAATAAAATTCGACTTGGGAGAGATTTAATGCAGAAAAAAAAAAGTAGGAGCGAAACGAAAGATTCCATCAACTAGAGGTGATTAAGAGAGTTAGTAGAATTCCCGAAGCTAGCAGCTCGTAGAAAACCAATTAAAAACTTGGACGTCGAATTGACTGATGGTGGGAGGTAAGGCGTGATTTGATTCGTCTTTTACCTTTGCTGATTACAAACCTAAAACTCTTCTGTCGCCTTAATCCTTGTCTGGTATCTCGTCTGTACAAGCCCGACTTGACGACCTAATGAACTATACTTTATTTAAAACTTCCAGTCGAGAAGATTTAACTAGGAAACAATATAAATGTGTACAGGACAGAAAAGAATTATTACGGAAATTAAAGCTTGTTATCAACTAGTAACTTGTAAATAATCTTTCTAGAAAATTTGTTTACTAAAATTCTACTTTTAATGTCGAATTTATTTATAGTAAGTTTAGTCATTTCGGTTATTAAAGTCAGTAAAGATATTAAATACTCGTTTATCAGAATGGAATACATCCTTCCTCTTCTCTGTTCCTTGTTTTTTCCTTCTTCTTCTTCCCCTACTTTTTGTTGCACGTCTGCAGGATGGAGATAATTTTTAATGACTTCAATTAAGATATTCATTGTAAATTTTAGATGATTAACCCTTTTTTTCTGTGTTTTTGGATATTGTTTTAACTTATTTGCATTTTTGTCATTTTTTTTTCGGTCGAGTTAAAGGAAGGCAGCAAAGCGTGAAATGAATATTCTACATTGAATAATTCTTTATATTTTTCCTTAAATGTAATAATTATTTTTGTTAAGTATTAATTACATCAAAACATTCTTAGTAATTGTCGTTTAAGGAGGACAATTAGATTCAGAAAACGTCGTTCTCGTGGTTTTAGAAAAATTAAAATAATCTTTCTTAAGTGCCGCAAATTGTTTAAAAGTATACTAAATGGTTTCGATTTTCTGTATTAAATTCGTTCAATTGTCTGTAGAGTTATTGGCTTCTTGTATTGTCGATACTGATTCTGTAGTAAAATGCAAACCCATTATTATTCTCAATAAGGATGCGAGCCCGACTTTAAGACTAACTGTGATAAAATGGTCCCATCAGATCCCATTACTAACACTTTCTCTTATGCTAATGATGGGTGCTCTTTCTCCTTACCTGGCCACGTCTAACAAGATCGATGGTCTTTCAACTCCCACTGGAATCATTTGTGTTCGGTAATCTAGATCTCATTCCATTCCCAGTTGCACAGAAAGGAAAGATACTTCCCTTTCTAGCTCGAAATGCAACAAAAAAGATGTCTTTACCTGATCCGAAAATGTTGCAGGGGAACACGTGATTGATCTAAGTTGGATTATTTTTTTATGGTTATGCTACAAAATCTGTATCATGTAAGGCTTTCTAGGTTATTTACTGTAAGTTCGACTCACTGAATAATTTTTTTTCCCTATAAATATATTTATCATTTTCCTTTTTTTTAAATATATTTATTTAAAAACGCCAACCGAAAGCAGTGAGTGTGGTTAATGTAGCTTACTTACTACTCGCTTTCTAACGCGTTTTGAAATATTACCCATTTGCGCATTGGCTTCGTGAATTTTAAAATAAATGTATTTTAAAAACAATTTAAGATTTGTTATCGTTCGTATCTGATGCACGTAGCACAATAATTTGAGCATAATTAAAATTACATTTTGTGCGCGATTATTTCGATTATATAAAACTAATAGAAAGGTGAATGGGAAAGTGGATGATGAGGAACGGTAAAATGGAGGAAAAAGTAGTTTAAACTTACCTGATGACAGGTCCTAAGAAAATAAAGTGGAATAAAATACGAAACATCCATCCAGTTGCGGAAAAATGTGGACGTCTCGCCGTTTCGGGGCATGTCGCTCTCTCTTTTTCGTCGTGCATATACCAACGTAAACTGATTATATTGACAGTAATTGCCGATAAAGCAGCTACACCAGCCGTAAGTCCGAGCCACCAGAGGTGACCACCTTTATAGAAGAAATAACAGATGACCAAATCGGTACCAAAGTCAGCAATGTAGCTAAACAACGACACCAAAGTGCCCAGAGCACTGAGACACGTAAATTCGTCCTCTTTTTCCACACGCCGTGGATAAACGATGTCCGATAGTGGTACTGCCGGATGAGGTCTCCCATAACGTGCACCGGGTGTGATAGTAACGATGTGACTGCTATCGTAGTCATAATCGCTCGATCTGTCGTCCTCGCTGTAGTAACGACTTCGATAATGTGGTGTCTGCCTTGTATTGGGTTTTAAAGGTGTGCGATAGTGGGCATCTTCCGGACGCAGGGCTGGCTCCTGCAACTCTACGTCGTTGACTACAACCATTGGATGCTAGTCAGCTATAAGTATAAAAGGAATATATAATTTATTCGGCTTCAACACATCCACAAAATAAAACTGAAACGAATATAGCTACAAAAGTTAAAAGATGAGTCCGTTTATTAATCATGTTTTATTTATTCATCCAATAACCCAAACCCGTGTAGTTTCTTTTTCCAATTTTCCGGTGTTGCCCTATTGATTTATCTCGGAAAGAACCAAAATAGACTGATAACTTATTTTATAGCCCGTTACTATGTAAATGTTATAACTGTAACATGGAAGTTGGAAATATTAAATAAACGTAGAATTCTGGCAATATTTAGAAAGAGGAAACTACGTCAACTATGTAGAAAATATCTTCTCTCGTATATTTTTTATTGATCAGATATAAAAAGTCCATCATTTCATGATTTAAAAAAAAGAAAGAAAGTTTTCATTTCCATAAAAAATCGTGCGAAATATTACTTGACAAAATAAATATTTAAATTGGAAAAAAAATTTAATTTAAATATTCCAGATTAAGTACAACGCAAGTTACTTATATCTATATATATATATATATATTCCAAGTTTAAGAAAGTATTTCTTTTTAGTTGAGTAATATTTTAACCAACGTACAGTACTTGCAAACCAAATGTATTCGGGCTTTTCTGATGGGCAGCGAAGCGTTGCAAAGAATACAACTTTACAGGCGCCGAACGCCAATCTGACGTGTTGCAGGCAAGTGAGTCAAGACAGGAATAAATTGCAGAGCTTCTTTGCTCTTCCCTTTCTTTATTTTTGATTTTGTTCTACTTACAAACACAAATATAAAAGAGGAACAATTTAAATTTTCATTTATATAAAAATTTAATCTCTTAATGAATTAAATTGTAAACATCTGCAATACAGTAGCCAAGAAAAACATTGTTATATATGTAAAATTATGATTTAAATTTCTGATTATTTAAGTAGTTTAAGGAAAAATTCAATACAGTTTATTGTATTACGATGTTTACGTTCCCTTATGCATAAATCTATTTTTAATAGTTTACTAATTAGCATGAGATAATTCGTTGAGATGATTATTCCTATTTAATACTAATAGGTCATTCCTTTAATGAACTTCACGATAAACTTTATTAAAATCCGAAGAATATTCGTAGTAAATTCTGCGTAATATTAAATAATTAATTAAAACTTGAATGGTTAATTAATTATATAATATCTCGACTGTCATCTATGCTAATTTTTATTGCCTGAGGAATCTTATCTGCTGGGTTATTTTGCTTCGTTCATTCTTAGAGATTAGCAGGTAGAATTATTCTTTCAATAATGCAGACAGGTGAAAAGCCATCTAAACATCGCAAATCCCAAGAATATCCCAGTGGAATTATTATTAAAGAAGAAAGGTTTTTACCTTTCTTCTCAATTCACCTGTTAAATCCTTCGGGATGGTCGAGATGCACTATAGAGAACATCGCCCAATTGAAAGTGGACTTCTTTACTTGAAATGTATTTCTTTCCCTAGCTTCAAATTGGATTTATGTCCTAAATATATAACATAATAGAAAATAAATTAAACTTTCACTTCGAAAATTAGCATAGAAATGATTGCACATTCGACAATAGATTGAACTTGTAAACGAAATGTTTATACAATTGAAAATTTACATCAAATTATTTATACCAATAAAAACGTTCCATTTTAAATTTTAAATATTTAAACACCCAATGGCTACGCTACATCTTTTATATTTTTTTTTATTTTTTTTTTATAGAGAAACCAATAGACGACCGATTTTGAAATGACGTATAAACTATCCGAACCAATGAAACTCGTACGAATGATATTAGACTACACGATTAATATTAATAACCAATAAGCTTGAAAATCAATTTGAAATTTTAAATTCTCAACGTTGATTGGCTTTTTTTCTTACATTTTCGTCTAGGCGCTATATTTTATCTGTTCGCATTTAGTTATTCGCATAATTTAAACACGGTAGATAAATAGTGCGGTTTAAACTCAATAATAAGGACGTTTAAGTAAATTTACATTCACTTTCTCATTAAATATAAACAAATGACGTCATTATCAAGTTATAAATTGCTAATTCGTGACGAAGTACGATAGTAGTTTTATCTTTCTATAAATAGCATCCTGGTTATATACGAGGTAACGGGATAAGATTAGCAATTAATTCCCGTTTTATTTCTTTTTATTTTCGATAATTAAAACAGATTTATAGACTATAAAAAGAATGTAATCCCTTATCAACAAGTAATCGGCTTTAAAGGATTATAAATGGAATTGATTTTCGTTATCTTCACCGTATTCTTAAAAGTTTTCGAATGTAAAAAGCATTTTGGAAAGTTACATTAGTTGTTGAATCGAGTTAACAAGAGTTAGTAAGAAATAAAGAAAGAAAAAAAAAATAAAGGAGTTGACAAGTAAGTTGTTACACGCTGTGTCGTGACAACATTGCCTTCAGGCTACTTTGTTGCCCCTTGTATGAAATTTTGAAATGTGTCGTAAATGGTTTGTACGTTTTTGACACTCAAACTGTATTTTCCGTCCCCCCTTTCTCCCTAAAATCTCCTTTACCGAAAGCGTTATACGCGCTCGAGGACATGATTTTACTTTCTTTCAGGATGTCCTTCTTAAAACTGATTTATAAGGCGAATCTTCTAGTAGATTGTTCCGGGTGCGGAAGAGAGATAACTGGATGAAAATTTAATAATCTGACGATTACAACAGTTTTCTACGTGGCTTAAACAGTTCGCATTTTCCGAGTGTTTTTTTTAAATAGATATTTTTATTTTTAATAATAATAAAAAAGGGTGGTCTTTTTTTTAAAAAAACTTTAATACGTATACCGACTAGTAGATGGCGCTATGTGTATTTTGAGAATTGTAGTGTTAGCCGCCATTGTAAGTGGAATTGGATAACTAAACTAATTTTCGAAACGTCGCGATATTAACTGCTGTTGTTGCAGCTTAGGAATGTCTGTCAGTGAGGCTTCGTGCAGGTAACTGTGTGAGTGATAGAAGTGATGTAACGACGGCAGGAAGCGTGACTTATCTGCCGTAAACTGCGGTCGTTACTGGTCGTTAAGGCTGGCAAACGGGGAGAAAAAAAAATAATGTTAATGCGAAAATTGTATCATCGCAGCTACTAGAAATTCTTCTTTTAACTTTTCTATTGTTTCTACAGTTGCAGGAAATTCTCCTTTTTTTTCATAAATATGAAATAGCCCTATTTTTCGCTATTAAAATTCAAGAATGGTGAAAATTGAAGATTCCAAATCGTAGGGAATGATGTAAACTTTTCATAAAAATTACTCACTGTAGAAATATTCTTTTTATACAACTTTGCATGTATGAAAGTATGTTTTCTGATCTCTTGTAGATTTATATACATCATACGTTTCTTATAGGAATACATCCCTCAGGACTACTACACGTTTATCACATTTACTACTTTCTTTTCTCGAAATCTTAGTTTCTTATATTAAAATCTTTATGTAAAATTTATATTCTAGAATCATTTTGTATTATTCTAAATAAATTGATCGATTTTATAACATTAAAATTGTAATTCCCTTAAGTTATCTTGCTTTACTTTGTTTGTTCGTGTCTAGACGTAAATCTACAAGCCAACAGTCTAAAGCAGTTTTAATTGTCCTTTAGTAAATATTCTTAACTGAAACAATAAGGATTCTGTTTATAAACTAATAATAAAACTTTCTCTTCGGCTAATTTTATAATATAGATGTAATTTTTGTTTATACATCAGGTTAATTTATATAAATAAAAGAAGTAGATAAACAAAAAGTATTATAAGATAGTTGGCTGCATTAAGATGCATTGTCCGACCGCAATGTCTGTCAAACGGAAGTGCCCTAAGCTAAATGTGTTATTTCATTCCCTTCTAGAATCTACTAAATGAAAGTTTGTTGAAAGCCTCAGTTGAACCAACATTCTCTTATATAGAAGAGGGAGAAGAGACGTGGAGGGAGAGAAAAAAAAAACAGAAACTTTTTGCTGCTTTTTTGCAAATTCTATCCATTCCATCGATATTGCATTTTTTAAAAAATTGTATTTTAGTTTAATTCTATATTTTTCTAACATTTTAAATGCTGTATATATTTACACAGTGATTAAATAACACGGAGCTAATTCGGATGATCTCATTTCTGTTGCTATCAGTTAGAAAGTTAAAGGAAGAAGAAGAAGAAAAATAAAAGAAATCCGTACATAAATGAAGGCAAAGTGAGTTGAATTAAACCACTTGCTAAATATTTAAGTTATCATTTTTCTTTCTCTCTCTCTCTTCCTCTCTTTTGGTATGTGCAATGACATTTTGGCCCGTTGCCATGGCCGCTATTTTGATGCAAACATTATTCGAATGTTTAAACGACACAAATCACCAGATAAGAACCTTATCAACAGACCAAAGAAAAAAAAATGTACGCCTCTTAGTGACGGCGCGGCACCTAACGTTGAATTTTCGTACTAAAGGTTAATAAATGTGGTGGAAGATGCTGATAATTTTTGCTGCAGTAGACATTTAAAGGAACTAATAATCATTTGGATTATCCTTGATTAAAAAAGATAATAATAATAATAATGCCTAGTGGAAATGATTTTTAACTATTGTGTGTGTGTGTTTTTTTTATGAATCAGAAAAATTTTCATTTCTTAAAAAAAAAATAAAAATAATTAACAATTAAAAATAATATTAACTTGCGTAATGAGTTTTCACGAAACATTCATTACGTGCCTGTAAATGCTACAAACTGTATTAACTAAAATAATATCGATTAGTTACGTCATAGAATGCAATTAACGTCAATAACGAACATATGTAATGTATTTTTTAACAACTTATTCAACCGAAACTTCTTTAAAAAACAAGAAAAAATAATAATAATTTCAAAATCTGATAAGTTGAAAAATTCGATTATGCTTAAGTAATGTATTTTTTTTAATTTTTTATTTATTATTTTTTTTACTCCCTCCTCCTTCCTTCTTTCCGAAAGTTTTAACCTTCGTGCATTAAATTTAAAATAAGAAAAATACATAAAACAATATCTGAAGGTCAAAAAAGCATTGTGTTAAGTAGTTTTTATGTTTAATATTCCTTTTATGTCGGCCTGTTCTGATTAAATAACGCAGACAAGTCAGCTGTTTATGATAAAAGGATAGAAAATCTGGTCGAGTTCCCTTCAGAACCGTTATATTCTCTAAGGCTAGTATTTAATTGCTGCTGGTTGCGGATAGCAAAAGACACATAAAAAGTTAAGTATGGTTGCAGCTGGGAAAGTAATCCTCGGTGTTGAACCACCTCGCGTGAGAAAAACACAGGAAATGAGATTGTGTTAGCTCTTTCAGTTGTCCAATTGATTCAGCTGCCTCTTTGCAACACACAGGTACTGATACCGAAATATCGGTAAGTTTATGCTAGTAGCTTTTCATCAACCAACTCATAAATAGCATCTAAACGTCGTTTTGATGAGATATGATGTCACTGATAGTTTTCATATACCTAAACGTCACGAGTCTGCTGATGACCACCGTGGAGTGGGGGGGAGGATGTCGTCGATAAACACGTTTTTAACACAAAGAAAATTGTTTTAGTTATCAAAGTACAAGTAATAAATTTAAGAATCTTTTTTAAAAAATGAAATAAAAATCAGGGGTATTTAGCTGTAATTATTTTTCTTTCAGAAAGATATTTAGATTTTCATTGTGTCTTGCCGTGAAGTCTAATTATCAGGGGAGTAACGCTTTATTCTTTTATCAACATACGAATTCCGCTTGGTTTATTATAAAATCTATAAATTCTATTAATTATACAGAGAAAGAAAGGAAGAGTGAGAAGATAAAATTATTGATTTGGCAATTTAAAAAAAAAAAAAGAAAAAGAAAAGTGAACCTATATATACATACGAGTATATATGCGTATATTTGTTCAGGTATAGCTACTATTTGATAGAATTTCTTGTTTAAAAATAAAATTTCCTCCGGTTTATAATTGGAAATTCCATATATAATATAGAAAAATGATATTTTCCAAACGATTTTAAGATAATTTATTTTTTATTATTTTTTCTCTTCCTTTTGCTGGAAAAACTTTTTGTTATTTTATATTTTAGAAAATAAGATCCGCAAAATATATTGTTTTCGAAAAAAAAGAAAGAAGAAAAAAAAAAGTCAATCGCCAAGTATGGATCAGATTTCTTCCATATTTTTTTTTTTAACTTTCAGTTCACCAGAGACTATATACGCTTCAGTTATATCCGAGATAAATAATATTCAGATATTTCTTATAAAGAGCTGATATTTCTAAGAAAAATATACTCATAAAAAGCATGAAGTAAGCCTCTTAAATCCCACCAAAAATATATATTTTTTAAAGAGAATTAACTCCCCAAAACATAAATTTTCTTTGATAATTATTGTAAAAAAAACATTTCGTAAACTTGAAACTTGAAAGCCTTATCTTTAATACACGGATCTATCAAAATATATTAAAGTATATATATCGTGTTTTTCTATAACGAAATTAAATTATCGGCTAAGGCTATGTGTATATTTAAAGTAAGAATATTTAACGTAGGCAAAAAAAAATAAAATAAAATCTTTTATAAATTTAATATACTCTTAAACATTCTGCTAGTTTCTCAAGGGAGCCTCTCCACATGTTAGTTTTAT